AGATACGAATTATAAAAAATATATTTTAGAATCGGTTAATTAGAATAAAAATTAAAAGACTTTCAGCTTTCCTTGATCTGTAGATCCCTACCTATAAAAAGGAAGACAAAACTAAATGCTTCAAAACATAAAAAAATATTTCTAATTAACACTTAATTAATATCAAATCTCCCAAGCAGACACGTCGAACGACTTCAGAAAATCGATGCCTCAATCATCGTCATTATTATTTGCGAAACATATTCGGAAGGCTCTTAGAACATACGTGCGTATAAGGCTATTAAGCAAATGCAATAAGAAACTGACTAAATAGCGTAGATAAATAACTACATAATGAGATCTTAATAGCTCAAAACATTAATAATAAATTGAAACTGCGAAAAATTATCCCTTGATTTGAATTTTCGGATGCAAAAAAATTTTCTACATTAATATTAAAGATTATACAAAAGTTTAATGAGTTGACTGTCTGGAAGATATTCAGTTATATCATCAAATTATTAACCACTTATTAATCGCGTTGTACCAAAATAATATGGATGTTCGTTCCGAATCAGATCCATATATTATAAAACTGAGGGAATATTTTACATATGAATTAAATGAAGAAGAATTGTACTGCAGACCTAATTTGGTAACATCAGACAATGGTAATGTTTTTCAAAGTTAGTTGTTTAAAATGCATTTGCAAATGTTTGTGTCTTCACTGTCATGTCTGATTACAGTAATTTAAATTGTAAACACTAAAATATATGGTTGTTTATTGATAAGCCTTCTATCTATCTACTATCTACTGTACGGTATGAATTCATATACAGGGAGTCTTGGAAATTGAAATGCATATACGGGGTGTGAGATTGGCAAAAGAGATTAGCATGAAACGAATGTCTACAGATTGTGTCTTTCAAAAAACACCGCTGAAACTTGTATTTTTTATATATGATTGATACTATTTAAGGCCTCTTAAATGCYGTGAACCAGTGGTCCCAGAAGTAATTTCGAAATTTATGCAAAATTTAGWGGATTGTTTTTTAGAAAAAAATATAGGAACCATGAATTTTTACTCAGGAAATTGATTTTTTTACAAGCTTATTTATACAGGCTGGTCCAAAAAAARTTKATGGTCGTAACTTATTTTCWATTTTAAGAATTCGAAAGTAACTTATTTTTAATTTTGAATTCTTAATATGGTTGGTAACATGTGCTATATCTAAACTCAACAGTTGCTGAGAAATTTCGGTAGTCCTGAAAAGATTATTTATTATATTATTTGTTATTTATATTACAATTTATTTCAAGAAAGATTTGTTTTCCAAATAGAACAACAATAAAATTAAATGCTTAAAATGTGTGCCAGTTCGGGGTTGACAATATACAAGGCGATCAATAAATATTGTTTCAGTTTGTGTATAGAAGAGGTGCTTCCATTTGCAAAAGTGTAGTAAATGGTCGTAAGTTATTTTCGGACCACCCTTTATTCTATCTGTTATTAAAAAAACGGGTTTCCAAATAAAAATTGACTGGTCCGAGACCTTTTCCAAAAAATAGCCCGCTGACTAAAATTAATTTAGACATTACTTCTGGGACTCACTGTATGGTCTGGTGTAATGGTCTCTGAATCTCATTTTTGTGTTTGAGTTCGCCAGGAACCAACCAGCTTGTGCACATTATTACTCATATTTTGGTCTCATCGGGTATGATAGACCCAAATCCTATTTTCAGGTAGCTTGAAGCTAAAATAAAAGGAACTTGTACAACGATGAAACGTATTTGTAGAAAACTATCATTTCAATTCCAAATCAAAATTAATTAATTCCTGCTTAAAATCCACATATTTCCAGTACGAAAACAAGTTCTATTCACAGATATATGGGGTTGCAATGGGTTCTCCCATAGCAGCAACAATTTCAAATTTGGTAATGGAAAATTTGGAAGAACAAATAATATCTAAATTAAACTGTAAGTGTGAATTTTTTAA